AGATAGGAAAAAAATAACACTCAATCACAAGGACATGAACATTCAGAATTCTCTTCACATTATACAACAGAAAATGTCATCAAATCACAGGAGGCTTTCAGTGAGATGGCCCAGACTGTTAGGTTTTAAGGAGGAGCTTTCAAGGGGAATGCAAATTAAAGAAGAAAGGAGAGTTGGAAGGGAAGTCCAGAGTTTGGGGCCTAGGCACCGGAAAAGCCAGTTACCCAAAAGCAAAGCAATTAAAACAGGGATACACAAGTGGTCAGAACTAGAAGAGTCCATATATCAATGAGGGTTGTGGGCTAGAGGGGATAAGAGACAGTTAGAGTGAGACCTTTGACAATGAAGATGAGAATTCCAAAAACGAAAACTGTTGCTGACTAGATGGTCAGTCAGCGTGGTGGTGATAGGGGAAATGGAACTTAAGAAACAAACTGAAGAATTCCAGATGAGTTTATGGGGATGGATTGTGGAAGACCAGCCAGCATTGAAATAGTCAAGACTAGAGGTAACAGAGGCATAAGTGAAGTTTTCAGCAGCAAAGGTTTTATTATTCTGTTTGGGAGCTTCTCCCAAGTGTTCTTGGCAATCTTACCCCTCAGCATACAACATGAAAAAGACAGATTATCTGATCAATAACTCTGTTTGGAGAAGCATGTCATGAATAAATCAGCATTTTCCACTTTACAACAGTGACTACAAGCAAATTAAACAGAATTGGCCATGCAGCCCCTCAAATTGGCTCCACCATTCAGTAAAATCTAATTAGTCCATATTCTCACCTTCCTCAGTAACCTTTCACCCTCTCTTATCAAAAAGACATCCACCATAGTGCTCTCTGGTTGGTGATGATATCGCTATACAATATATGTATAAAACAAGGGAGAAAGCTACAGATAGGAACATAGCCATTCCTTGTGCAATTTCAAGCACTTTGGATGGACGTCATCGAAGCAGATGATAAATAGATGAGGTGGTGGTTGTGTGGCACAACAGATAGTACCCTTGCCACTGAGCTGGAAGGTCCAGGTTCGATTCCCATCCCACGACTGGCTGGTCAGCGAAGGTACACTCATAACATCTGCACGACTGACACAGCACTCACCAAGCAGGTGTCCTACTCCCAGCTTCGAGATGGCAGGTGAGTTCCAGACAGACCGAACCAGCACACTGCAGGGATACCCTCAAGGCCTCACTGGCAAAGTGCAGCATTTGCACGGACACCTGGAAATCACTGGCTCAAGACTGTCCCAAGTGGAGGAGGAGCAGATGGGGAAGGCATCAAGCACCGAGACTTGCCTTTAGGAAGTCAGGTGAAAACAGTGAAAGGAGCGTACTGTCACAGCAATGCCCCACCCACCTTTTCCCGTGACAACCACCTGGCCCAAGTGTAACAGAGCTTGTTGTAACCACATCAGTCCATACAGCCACCAACACACTCCGAGAATTACTAGAACTGAGTGGCTTATGAGGTTATGCAAGACTACAAGATTGAAGGGGGCAGCTTCATCACTGATCATCTGGAATTACATGCAAGCCACTGAGATACCAGGAGGCAGGTTTCCTACGCACTCTCGCTGAGGGTGAAAGACAGTCATTCCCACCTATGAGGGACTGCCGATAATGATTCATAACATGGCCAAACAGGCTGGTCATGAACACACAAATCCTTCCTACACATGTATAGCAGGCAATAAGAGTGGGTGCACCTCTCATTTAGTCAGAACATCAGGACTGCTGCAATAGCACGGCCTCCCAACCTTCCACAACTCCATCCTCTTTCCATTTGCTGTGCAGCCTGTTCGGAGGGACAGCACCCACTTCCCATGAATGACATTTTAAAGAGATGAAAAACAATTTTAATTCTTTTACAGTTTAGTTCCATTACATGTACATCCAAAGTTAATAAAATTTAAAGTTGCACAATGACAGCATAGAGCACCCCAGGATGTGCAAAGTGCCAACCGCAAAGAGAATAACAGGTGGGTCAGAAGGATTGTACAAATATGCTCCAAATTATAGAATAACTTCTCTGAATAACAGCAAGTGTAAAACATCATACTACTCAGGAGCACTCGGGTGAAATTCTCCACAACTCAAATTCCGGAGGCTAAAAATAAAGTCCTCTTTAATTGGCACTGTTAGGGTGCAGGATTAAAGTTACTTCTCCTCTACCAAGTGAAAAATGAAGATAATTCCAATTTCACACTGGCAATGCCCTTGGCTAGGTTGCTGTTTTAACGAGCTTGCATGCTGAACAGAGACATCTGCATGTAGTTGCAGTCTGGTTCTGTCACTGTATTTATTCAGGATTAATACAAGCAGAGCAATTTTATTTGGCAGAGGTGGCGGGGGTGGGGGGGGGGGGTGGAATGTAGGGGAAGAATGTGCAGCGAACAAGACAACAAGAATTATATAGAGGCACCAGAGAAAATACAGAAAATAGTCACAAAAATGATACAAAAATTGAGGTTGTAACTGTCGAGAAAGATTGCATAAGATGGAGCTCCTGACCCCAGAAGAAAAAGAAATGCTTTCAAACCTGTCTCAGGGTGTGGGCATGCTGGCCAGTCCAGCATTTATCACATCTGAAGAGGTGGTGGTGGGCTGATTTCTTGATCCATGGCTGACCATGGGGGTTATGAAGTGAACTTGTTAAAAGGTAAATGTGGACAAGGTGTTGCCACCTGCGAAACTGTCACTAGGCAATGGCTATAAATACAATAAATTCACCAAGATAAACACTAGAGAGGTAAAGAATATATTGGCAGAGTTGGAAGCAGAATAAGAGGCAGCCTGTGTGCAGCATTCACAACCAGCGCAAACTAGATGGGCCAAATGGTCTGGCTCAGCGTAATGTTCCATCTGATTCTGCAGTCCCAAATTCATCCTTCCTTTAAAAGAAACAGGAACCCTGCAGCTAACAAACAACTTTAACATAGGTGTAGGACACACTTGCATGACCTACAAAGAAGAACTGACCTCATCCCCACTGGTAGAGACCCTGCTCTCGGCTTTGTGTCCCAATCTCAATGGCAACGTAACTGAAGAAGTGTGAAACACAGTAAGTCAGAACAAAAGACAGCAGCAATTCTTTCCCACAAATCTTTAAACTTCCAAGATAACAAACGATAGGCTAGTTCTGGTACAGTTGTTGAAAATTGTTTCATATCCAGTTATTTGGAATTATGGTGCTGCTTCAGTGAATTTTTTTTCAGGAAAAATTTTTCAATGACCATTCCTGTGGAGCAGATCTTTGGCTCAGTAAAGTTGAACCTCCACAAGAATAAAGAGAAATAAAGAGTTAATCCTAACTCTCTGCCCTTTTTCCCATAGCCCTGGAAATATTTTCCTTAGCTCACAACATCTTTTCGGGTGATGCATTCCAGATCATGACAATCTGCCATCGAAAGAAAGTTATCATCTTCCTTTTAGTTCTTGTGCCAACTCCCTCAAACCTGTGACAACAAGGTGCAGGGCTGGATGAACACAGCAGGCCAAGCAGCATCATCCTATGATGCTGCTTGGAGCCTCTCTGCTCCTATGATGCTGCTTGGAGCCTCTCTGCTCCTATGATGCTGCTTGAAGCCTCTCTGCTCCTATGATGCTGCTTGGCAGCCTCTCTGCTCCTATGATGATGCTGCTTGGCCTGCTGTGTTCATCCAGCCCTGCACCTTGTTGTCTCGGATTCTCCAGCATCTGCAGTTCCTACTATCTCCCTCAAACCTGTGTCCTCCGGTTATCAACCTACCTACCACTAGAGAAACAAAGACTGTCTTTAATAACTCTACCAAAACCCTTTACAGAACGAAGAGTCTCATTTATGTTTAGACAACAAAGTAGGTCAACGGGCCATTCAGCTTAATCAGAGCAGTCCTGAAGTAACAGCGTCAGCTGTTTGCACCTCAGGCCTCGATATCATCATGATGCACTTCAGATACATGTTTAAATCGTTCCTTCAATGACTGTGGTCTTTGCCTCAACCACTCCTTGTGAAAAAAAACCTTCTGCACTCCAACAACCCTCCAAGTAAAGCAAACTTTTGCCAAACACTCTGAAAGGGCATTTTTATAATAAACAGTCTAAAAGTCCTTGAAATGGTACTGAACCGAAACATCCTTTTAAAACGTTACCCGTCCCAGATATACCAGGATAACACGCATCATTCCTCTTGGCAAGTATCCCGTCATGCCTTGCGCTAATCGCCAGTCTCAGTTATAAGCCTGCTCTACAGATCGGGAAAGGTCTGCTGTAGCAAATCAGATCAAAGTCTTGCAGCCCAGACTGCCTTTGGTGTCTAGTACATATCTGGCTCACTAATATCCTTTACAAATGGAAATCTGTCACCTTTACATAGACTGATCTACATCTGATTCCAGACTCACGGCAATGTGATTGACTGGTAACTGGCCCTCTAAAATAGCGAAGTAAGCCACTCAGTTGTACCAGACTGCTGCAGGGAAGTCATACCAGATGGATTGCAATGGCTCAAGATGGAAGCTCACACCCACCTTCTCCAATACAATTGGGAGATAGACAATAAATACTGGCCTTGCTTGTAAATGTCCATATCCAGTGAAAGAACAAAAATAAAGTAATGTAAATTTGAGGCAGACTAGCCTGGGCCATAGTCATGGTTTCCTAATAGATAGCAGCCCTCAGTCATTTTAATAGGAGTCTCAATATTCGAGGATTATGGCATCTCAGGCTGTAATACAAAGGGATGATCTTCATTCACAATGGGCAAGAGAAGTCCTTTTAGTTGATCTCGGAATGTCAAAAAGTGAGTCTCAATGCTTTGCAAGTGAAAGCAAAAACAGCATTTGTTCCCCTAAAACTTAATGACAAATTGCACGATGCATCAATCCTTTTATACAGGCTGTTCTCCTGTTTAATCCAAGTATGCACTGAGTCAACCGAGGACCGGAAGTGACACAAAAGCAAGCAGACACGTTAACTCCATCATCATCTGCACCACTTCTTTCACAGCATTTCAGCAACTGGCAAGGCACAGGACAGCAAATCATTTCAAACGCTGCATGAAAAGATGATGCTATTTTTGACATCCCCAAGAAAAGAAAACACATTTCAACACTCGTCACTGTACAGTTGGCACAGCTATTGCTTTTGATTGAGGTTTGATGAATTAGTTGCAGTTTCAAAATCTGACAAAGATTAACCACATAATCTCTCAGCAAGGAGGATGTTGCCGTCACCTGGGATCATAAGTTTTAGGTAGGTTGCTTGGATTCTTCAACCCAAATGTAAAAGGACATCAAAGCCAATCGATGACAGTCACTTAATGAGCTTTGGCTCACTTATGATTTTAAACACAATTGAGAGTTTTCTAGTCATTTTTTTGCACTTCAGCTGAGGGTAGGAGTAATTAAATGGAAGTGAAATTTATGCAAGGAAGAGTCAGAATTTCAGTCAGTCGTCAGTAAGAAGCAAGCAGTTTGATAATAAACGGACAGAATTAGACTCACATTAGACGTATATGAAGAACAGAAAATCATTCCTTTCTTGAAACTGCAAGCTTTGGCGTTTGCAGACTTTGGATCAAAAATCTTGATTTTTTTTAAATACAGTGGGCGCATATTTATATTAGGAGTCAGTGGTAGCATTCCCATCTTAAAATCAGAGGGCACAAATCAATCTGACATTTCAATGCACCATGTGACGAAGAGCGCTCTCTCCCAGTGAGACACCTCCACAGGCAGACGCAAAAGATCCCACTGCAATATATTGAATGAGAGCAAATGGCACACGGGTGTACCTCAACAAGGTGGAAAACAAGTGGTGCAATGAAATAGGAACTTCGTTCCCAGTGGTTCAATTCTTCTTTAATTCATTTCCAGTGTTGGCTTTATGTCGAGGTTAACAATCCATTCAATGGCTTTAGCTGATGCAATGTGAATGGCTGTAATATCACCAGGAATGTTCTCTCAGGGCCGACATTCTGTCTGTGGGCATTATTGTCTCTCGTGTTCCAGCTGGAGGAGAAAGTGGCCACATCTTCACTAGCCCATCCTTAAGCAGATGAGAGTTGCCCAGATTTTGTGCATGAGGTTGAAACCTGGAACTTGGACATTCAGGACATTAAGCTGCACGTAGCGATGTCTAGTCAACCAGGAGCTAGATCGAGTGATGCAATGCAATGCAATGCAATTAAGCAGCAAGAAGTAGAGTTTCACATAATATCTATAGCAACTGGTGCTCAGTGGCCTTTGAATTCCAATGATAACTTTCCAATGTTTCAAACAGGATGAAGCATTTTTCAGCTAAAAGTTATTAGCATGTTTAAACTGCAACATAAGAATTTGATAAGGTTTCCTTGGAAACAAGGAATCAATTCCTTATTTTTAGTTCTTGATAAGAAGACTCCTTCCATAACAGTCAAAAAGGAATCACACCAAATATTGGGAGGGCAAAAGATGGATGCAATGCACAAAGCAAACTCCTGGGAGAATCTTTGGGATTTGGAGGGGTGTTATTATGCATTCCAGACTTTCCTGAAATATTCAATACAGGCAAAAGTATGGGGTCTTGCTGTTGTCTCCATATGCCTGATTTTGATGGGTTGTCAACTGATACATTTAGAGTCCAGTGTGTTAAGACTTGCTTGTTGTTGACTCTTCACAGCCACTGTCTTTGATGTCCTTTGTGAAGAGTATATTCTCTGAAATGTGACTGCATTGACATGTCTACCTCAAAATACAGATCATTGAAGGGTTTTAAAATTCACAGCAATACTTTGCTCATACACAACCAGAAAAATACACTGTTAACGAATAAGTATTTTACTAAAAATGAAAAATTAGTAGAACAGTCCCAACCCGAAACATCAACTTTCCTGCTCCTCTGATGCTGCCTGGCCTGCAGTGTTCCTCCAGCTCTACACTGTTGTATCTACGTCAAACCAAGGTTGGACTTACACAGTAAATAGTAAGGTCCCAAGGAGTGTTGTGAAACGGAGGGACCTAGGGGTGCAAGTACTTAGTTCATTCAAAGTGGCGTCACAGGTAGACAGGGTGGTGAAGAAGGCATTTAGCTTGCTGGCCTTCATCAGTCAAGGCATTGAGTATAGGAGTTGGGACATTATGTTACAGTTGTCCGAGTTGTTGGTGATACCACACTTGGAATATTGTGTACAGTTTTGGTCATCCTGTTATAGGAAAGACAAAGTTAAACTAGAAAGTGTGCAAACAAGATTTACGAGAATGTTGCCAGGACTAATAGCCCTGAGTTATTGGGAGAGGTTGGCCAGGGTAGGATTTTATTCCTTGGAATGTAGGAGAAGGAGGGGTGACCTCCTTGAGGTGTATAAAATAATTAGGGGCATAGATAGGATGAATGCGTATAGTCTTTTTCCCAGGGATGGGGAATTGGAAACTAGAGGGCATAGGTTTAAGGTGAGAGGGGAAAGATTTAAGGAGAACTTGAGGGGCAACATTTTCATGCAGAAAGTGGTGCATATATGGAATGGGCTGCGAGAGAAAGTGGTTGAGGCAGGTACAATAGCAACATTTAAAAAAAACATTTGGCTAGGTACATGGATGGGAAGGGTTTAGAGGGATATGGACCAAATGCAGGCAATTGAAACTAGCTGAGTTGGCACCATGGTCAGCATGGACCGGTCTGGGCCCAAGAGCCCGTTTCAATGCTGTATTACTCTATGACCAATGCATAGTAAAGTCAAGTCTATAGCTGAACAAATGGACTTTGAAATTTGATGACCAAGATTTCAAATGACTGCATTCTTTTGCTCAAGGTGATCAACTGAAATTTGTGCCAAGACATAATCCAAGGAGAGAGAGATCGGAGAGTAAAGGTAAGGATCTACAGGCCAAATCTGATGTAATTTTATAATCTAAAAAATAAATCACTTGGCATCATGCCAAAAGAACACCGGCAAGACATCAGGTGAATGTAGTGTTTATGGTCAAAAAGCTCTCAAAAGCACTAAATCTAAGATTAGAAAAGTCCAAAAACATTTTATTTTCATTCATGGGATGTGGGTCTCTCTGGATGGGCCAGCATTTTGTGTCCTTCACTAATTACCCTCAAGTGGAGGCAAACTGCAGGGGAGGTACACACACACACACCCATTATTAGGGAGAGAATTCCAAGATTTTTACCGATCAGCACAGAAGGAATAATGATATAGTTTCAAATCTGGATGCAGAGTGGCTCGGATGGAAACTTGGAGATGGTGCATACCTCACAGCTTGGGCTGGTCTTGATGCAGTAGGATGGAGTAACCTACTGCATCACATCAAGAGGTAACCCAGTCATGGCCATCAACAGTTGCAACCAGCTCAACAGGAAATATAAACAAAAGGATTATCAAGATAGATCCAGAAGCAATTCTGCCCACAGGTCTTGGAAGGAACTGCCATGCATTATTAAATGGTATTGAGCCAAACAGTTGTACAGACTCAAGTCGACAGGGCAGACCTGTTTATAGCATACATTCACATAAATGATTCACTTTGAGATGATTCACATCCTTCACACCCTTAAATAAAACTGTCACTCCTTTTCAAAAGTTTCATTTCTTGATCAATGATGGCAGAACTCCAATTACAAAGCTAAGTAATTTTGCACTTCAAGCTACACATTACATTTTCCTATTCAAGTGATCAAACACTTGGGCTGAAACTTGATCCTTATTAAACACAAGAATATTATAGGAACAATGCTAACCATTTCAATCGACAAAAGCTCACAATTCTTGGAAATGATATCTTTTAGTGTGGTGAGGCCTGAGCAATGGGGCGTAAGCTTAAACTGCGAGCCAGCTTGTTCACGAGAGATGTTTGGAAACAAAGGACATCAAAAGGACAGCAAAAATCCAGATCTCTCTTGAAGTATCAGCTCTGGCAGCACTTTCACATTGAAGTCACAAGGACTCCAGTTCAAGTCCAATGCCAGGATTTCAGGACAAGAAAACATATCTTTAAAGTTGCAGCAGGACATTCCAATGCAGTAGTGACAAGGTGTTGCACTGCCAGAGATGGTGAATTTTTACTGAAATGTTAAACTCAGGCAGCTGTTGCCCTCTCAGCTCGCAGAAAAGATCCCACAATATCAATTTAAAGAAGGGGAAGGTACCCCAATGAATAATTATCATTCAACAACTCGATAAAAATAGATCATCTGGTCATGATCATATTGCTGTTTGTGGGAGCTTGCTGTGAGCATATTTAGTGCTGCATATCCTACATTACAACAGCAACCACATTTCAAAAAAATACTCTGTAAAGCTGTTCGAGGTGTCTGACAGTTTGCAGAGATAACGTCATTCCAAGTCTTCCTTTCATTTGAATCCAAATCAGGTAAATATGGGTACTATTGGTAGTTTAAATAAATTTTAAAGATTTGGTCCAGGCCTCGATTTATGCACACTATCCCCAGTGGGTCATAACAGCAGCTTGAAGCTGCTCAACCACTTGTGAGCCAATCACAGAGTTGCTGACAAGCAAAATGTCTCTGAGATTGATTACTATCACGAGCTTGCAGACCCATCAACTTCTTGTTGTTAACAATGCAGGAAGTGAGAAAAAGTGAGGAGACCAGAGATAAAGACAAAAAATTGTAACTTTACATAAATCATAGAATGGTTACAGCACAAATGAGGCCATTCAGCCCATGATGTCTGCACCAGCTCTCTGCAAGAGGAATGAGTCCCAACCCCTTCTTCCTCCTTCCCCCATTGCCCTACAAACTTCCCTTCAGCTCTTTATCCAATTCCCTTTTGAAGGCCACGTCTGGTCCTGCCTCCACCACCCTCTCGGCCAGTGTTCCAGATCACAACCATATGCTGTGCAAAAATAAATAGTTCAACAGCTTACCCAACACTGCCGCCCAAACCACACCCCCCTCCCCCCCAATGCTTCCTTTGCCATTCACCAAAAACTGGTGTCCTTTTGGTTCTTGAACACATTAGCAGGAACAGTTTCGCCCTGCCTACTGCCTCGATCCATCATGCTTCTGAAATACTTCTATCCATAAGGAGAGAGGCAGAATTCCTTTCTCAATCTCTCTGTGCACACTCATTGAAAGAGCTATTCAAAATCATGAGCCTAAACAGAGAAAGCAGCAAGAAAAGAGATGATTGGTGAAAAAACAATTGCGGCAACGATCAGAACTTTTGGTTACAAAAGTGGTTACATTCTGATAACCAACATTCAGAACACCAGCTCATCTGTTATCGTTTCTCGGTGCGCATTGATTGCCTAATTTATCAAGCATTGACTGAAGAGAATATTTCAGATGTAAATCCAACAGGCATGAACCCTGACAGTGGCCAGTCCAAGAACAGTGACTATTTTAAACACAGGAGTAGTGAAGCATTTGCTATCGTTCAATTCAATGCAGCATTAAAAAAAAAGCACATATCTTATGAATTTTTACAAGACTGGAGCAGATTGCATTGGGCTTAAGCCTTTAAAAAAACATCCCCTCCATCAGATTATGTTCTGGTCAATTTATGGTTTACAAGAACCAGATGAAATCCTCAACATGATAAAAGTTGACAAGAGGGCTTTTATGAAACAGAGGTTGTGGTGAGCACTGCATCAAAGTAAATGGAGTTACATTCCTCAATGAAAAAGCTGTAACTGAATTCTTAAATTGTTATTTTTGGACTGCATTTCCAAAGCAATATTCCATTTTAAATATTTCCAATGAGTGAAATACTGTAGGAAAGCTGTGCCTAGGATAGCTAATGAACAACAAATGCAAGGGTCATTTTCCTTGGAACAATTCTTGATCCATCTTCAAGTTTTAATTTAAGGAGTGGGTTTAAACGCTTTCAATATTTTCTTATCTCCCCAACAGCCTAAAGCACTGATGATAAAAATTTCAAATGGACAGATGCCAATTGCATAGATGACAAGATTGCAATTTTGCTCTACTCCTGGCCTGATTTTAGTTTACAGATTTTGGAAACTGAGGTGGAATATCTTTTGAAACAAAGTCCTCTCAAAAGAAAATATAACTGTTACACTTTTTACATGAGCCCTGGGGAGGTCCAGCTATCAAAAGCCCACCTTGACAAAATGAACCAAAAAGCTACGTTCATATAGTATCAAGTTCAGGCAAAACAATGTAGGTTTCCGCCAAAGCATGCCTTCCACTATGGACTCTGGAATGATTCAAGGTGACACACCAGCACCTTTCTTTATTAATTCTTTCATGGGATGTGAGCATTGCTGGCAAGGTCAGTATTTATTGTCCTTGATAGGGCGGTGAGGGGAAGAGTGAATCTCCTTAGCCTCAAAGCAGACCGAGTGCAGTATCAAGGAGCCCAAACTAAATGATCTTCAAGAGCAGTTGGGCATGGGGGCAACCAATGCTAGCCTAGCTAGCAATACCCACATCCCATGAAAGGAATTAACCAAGGTCTGGTGTGTCACCTTCTTTACTCACTGCAGATGGTGTAGGGGCACCCCCGGTACTGAGTGTTCCAGGATTTTGACCCAGTGACTGTGAAAGAACATTGTTAAGCTTCAGAGTCAGAACGCGATATGGCTTGGAGGGGGATCTTACAAGTGGTGTTCTCATGTTTCTGGTTCCCAGTCCTTCTAGATGTTAGAGGTCCTCAGATTTGGAAGACGCTGCTCAAAAGAATCTTGGTACACGGTACATATTTCCACCAGTGGTGCAAAATGGGATCTTTTATACAGTCACACAAAACTCACCCATGTCCCCTCTGGCTCTCTCACCACTGAAACTGAAGTATGTGGGTTCAAGCCAGGAACAGACCAGTCCACTATAAAGAGGAGTGCAAAATTCTGACATGCCACCTTTCAGATTAAATTAAGGTCCAATATGGTCTCCCACATAGGTGTGGAGCATGCCTCACTGAGGACCTGGCCAATATTTGCCCATTAACCGATCAACTTACCATTTATCTCTCAACCAACTGCGGGAATTTGTAATGTGCAAATTAACTGTTGTATTTTTCTAAACTTCTGCAGCGATGAAACTTCCAAAGAACTTCACTGACTGCCAAGTGGTTTGGGACCTCCCAAAAATTTTGAAAGGTGGAAATTCCCTTCCTCTGCAACTTGAAACTTTTTCCAAAAGTCACACTGACCACTTTGATGGAGAGCAGAAACAGACCAGGGATGGTCTACTGTTGCTCAAATATCACACCATAGTTAAGTACAAAGTGCCTAGACGATGTAAAGATACCAATCTAGACAAAAGAAAAGTATACCAATTCAATGCCATAAGACAGAACAGTACTCTGCGGATTCAGTTTTCCTGCTCAGTTGTATAAAAGTTAATGGTGAAGCTGCTTTAAGCTCCACCCAGTCTGATGACATCTCACAGTCTTCAGGTTGAGAAGGAACAGTCTAGTGCAAGGTCCAAACGAAGACAGAAATCTTGCCTCGGACTCCAAACAGTCTTTGTAAATTGTGCCGAACTAGTCAATATCACTCATTGTCATCACACAATAAATGACAATTTTGTTGTGCAAGACTTCTTAAGCAAAACTCAAGTGGCTTATCCATTGGAGACACCCTTAGACACAGCATGGAAAGGAAGGTTCCTTTTGGGATAGGTGAGCTCAGCAGGGGCTGGGTCTACTCCATTTAGTTTTGATACATTTCCAATCTTTTGATGGTTTTGTTGTAGTGCCACACCAGGGCTGTCCAAACTGCTATCGTTCATTCGAAAAGAGTATAAAAGGAAGATATGGTAACTGTAAGCCACCAGAGCTAGCCACTGCAACATAATATGGTGATCAGCAGAGAGGATCATTGCATAAATACCTCAAGATAACAGTGTAAAAAATCCAGTTGTTAACCCACAGAAATATTTTCAGAGAACAAGTGAGAGTTTACTGTTTTAAGGCAGCTACCACTTTAAAAAGGAGGCACTGGCAGTGAGCAGCAGAAACAAAGGCAAAAGCAGTCAGCACACCTTACAGTGTCAGGAGAAAAGTAGCACTCCAGAAGAAAACCTTCACTCCACAGGTGGCAAGAGGCGCTGGAAAAAATAACTGCTTCAGAATAGAGTGAAAACTAGGTACACAGGGAAGTGACTGAATCCTTAGAGCAGGAGGATCTGGGAGAGTAGCATAGAACAGAGCAAGTTAAAAACCCCAAATGGGCAAAGGGGAAAAACAAAGGAAAAGGCACACAAGGCCAGACTGAGAAGGATGAAAGGGAAAAGGAATATTCTCGTCTTCAAAACAAGTATGGTCCGCAAGACAAGGCTACAGTAGGCAGCTCTGAGGAAGGGTCACCGGACCCGAAACGTTAACGGATTTTTTCCTCACAGATGCTGCCAGACCTGCTGAGCTTTTTCAGCAACTTCTGTTTTTGCTCCAGTAGGCAGGGCTAGGGCCAGAACATTATTTGTACTGAAGTCACTGGACCCGGTAGGGTTTAGGGTACAACTAAGGCAACAAAGGCAATTTCAAAGATTGAGTGCAGAGTCGAACAGAGAAAGGTGTTTAAAAGAATGCAAAGATTGTGATATGATTGGGACACGCTCAATTTAAAACTGCGATTTGGCAGGAAGATTTCTCAAGTCCGCAACCACTGAGGTTTAAGTTTAAAAATGTGCAAGAGACGTGCGGTGAATTTTATATTGCCAAAGACTGGAAATCATTAATTATGTCCATAAAGAAACAAAAAAGTGAAAACCACCAATTGATTAGAACAAATATGTTGGAAATCTCCAGTAAACAGTACAGAGGTACAGAAGCAGTAAGTGATTCAGAATTCAAGAGACTTGCAGAGACGTTTGAGGAAGAAGAAATTTTTTCCAGCAATAGTACCCTGAGCTCTTACTAGCAGCTGTACTTGAATACACTTATATCATGAGGTGGTCCTAAAGATATTGTCACATCACATTCCACCCATTTGTCAGTATGACTAACCATCTGTATTTGGAGCCAGAAAAACATTGGTATAATGTAAACTACTTTGCAACATTATTTACTCTCATTGCCGCATAACATCAGACACAACCAACAGAAACAGTGTTCTGGAAGTAGGGATAGGAGAGGGGCATACTGAAAGAGGGGGAAAAGAATGGAAAGCATTAGCAGCTCCAAACCCATGTCTGAAAAGATAATACCCTTTAAATCAGAAAGGAGTATTTGATGCCATGTGTTACGTTCCCAGCTGATACTTGACAAGTCAGATCCCATAGTGAAACCTTATTTGATAGATCATAAGTTTAACTTTTGAAGCTGGTCACTTGGTGGTTCATCTCTGAACATATTCACGAGGCAGTCAGCCGTCTTTAATCAAAGAACAAAGGTTGATTGTACAAAAGGAAAACAGAAAACTATATACATATTAAGCAGTTTAAAAAAGTTGCTTTTTGTTCTTTTTGCTGAGAAAATCTTTCTACCCCAACGACATTCCTTCCAGAAATTCAATACCACTCCCATTTTAAAATCTAAATTCTTGCTCAACAAGCACACTGCAGTTTTCATGGTTGAGAGACTTCTTTCCGGCTCCAATGGCCTAAGCCCCTTTTCAGTTCTGACAGCTTGAAACTTCTAAACAAACTTGCGTAGCTTGGCACTTCACAAACTAAAACCCTTCTTCCAGGGAGAAATACATCCACTGAACTAAACTTAAAAAAAAAAGTGATCTTTGGTCTGTTTTCTCTCCAGGTCATGAGAGTTCAACACTTCAACTGAAGATCAATTCACAGCTCAGTCACCCCTGCGAGGCATTTGACTGAAACACGTGCTGTGCTTTCTTGCAAATAGCATGTTTACTTTGTTTCTCCAAATGACGTTGACCTTTTCTTAAAAAAATAAAATTACCTTCACAAAACTGAAACTAAAACCTATTATTTCCTCTTTTTTAAGATGCAAATTACCAAACGACAATATATCAAACACCTTTATCGCAGCATAGTCCGAAAGGGATCGTAGACGCATCTCTTTTAGAGATAATTGTTTAGATAGCATTAGCAGCAGCGCTCAATACTAAACACGGGCCTTGCCTGTCTCCTGCCACAAGTTTATGTCAATCAGAGCAGGATTTGAACATGTACTCTGAAAACTATTCTGACCCACACAGTAACCAATAAAATCACCAACCCCTACGATATTGCAGCATCTCATTGCCATTCCTACCTGGAATATAAAATATTGGCAATTCTTCAGTTGTTTCAGTAGGAATCTGTTAATTTCTGAAAATGCCTTAAAGAACCTCAGGGCTTATCAAAGCATTTCATACCCAATCATTTTTGAATTATCAACTTAAAATGACTTCCATTCATATTGAATCTTTTTACAACCAGACTCCCAAAGCTCTGTGCAGTGAATTAAGTATTTTCTGTCGTGTAGTCACCATTGCAATGCATAAATAACAACAGCTAATTTGGACTCTGCAAACTGCCAGAAATAGCAATGGAATAAGAAACAGATAATCCGTTTCTGTGGTGTCGATTGAGGGACAAATATCGACAAGGATACTGGCAATAACTCCCCAGCTCTTCTATAAAAACAGTGCCTTAGGATATTTTGACATCCACGTGAGGTGACAGACAAGGTCACTCATGACTGCACCACTTCGACCTGGATGTTTTTGCCAAAGTCTCTGAAATGTTACATGAACCGACAATTTCACAATTCTAAGGGAAAAATTGGCAAACAACTGTGCCTCAACCAATATCAAATTAGGTAAACTATCAGCAAGGGATTTTGTTGTAAACATCTATCTCATAGATCATAGAATCCCTACAGTGTGGAAACAGGCCCTTCAGCCCAACCAGTCCACACTGACCCTCGGAGCATCCCACCCCGACCCATCCTCCTTCAACCCTATAACCCACCTAAGCTACACATCGCTGTGATAATATAGTAAGTTAAGCGGGTGATTGGAGTTAATTGATTGACAGATTAGGTAGATATATGGGATGAACAAGTGGAATGTGTGTGTGGAGGAGCTGCAAGACTGAGCAGAGGGGCCCTTTCGTGGCGCAGTAGTAGCGCCCCTGCCCCTGGGCCAAGAGGTCTAGGTTCAAGTCTTAGCTGCTCCAGAGATGTGTACTAACCTCTCCGAACAGGTTGATTCAAGAAAAATATGTAAGAGTGAGTAGAAGAAAGGGCCTTTTTGGCACAGTAGCAGCATCCCTAGGTTTAGGTTCCACTTGTTCCAGGGGTGTGCAATAACATCACTGAGCAGGTTGAAAAAAGTACAAGTGAGTAAAAGGGGCTCTTGTGGCGTAGTGGTAGTGTACCTATGGAGCAGGAAGATCAGGTTCAAGTCCCACTTGCTCCAGCAATGTGTCATAATATCTCTGAACAGGTTGATTTGGAAAATTATCCATAGGAGATTGACTTGGGCCAGAAGTTCTCGCTCAAGTCCCATCTGCTCCAGAGGTATGAGATAGTAAGAGTGAATAGCATGGCTGAACAAGTTGTTTAAAAAAAAAAGCCTGGAAAAAGCCTGAAAAAATAAGGGCTGTTGTGGTACAGTGGTAGTTTCCCTAACTCTGAGACAGGAGACTCAGGTTCAAGACCCACCTGCTCCAGAGGTATGTAATAATGTCTCTCTGAACAGGTTGATTACAAAATATCTAAGAACGGGCATTAAATAAACTATCCACAAACAAAGGTGTTACTGGTTATTTTGGATCCAAACTGACATATCAAACTAACAGAGATAGTAGGAACTGCAGATGCTGGAGAATCCGAGACAACAAGGTGCAGGGCTGGATGAACACAGCAGGCCAAGCAGCATCATAGGAGCAGAGAGGCTGACGTTTCAGGCCTAGACCCTTCATCAGAAAAGGGGGAGGGGAAGGGGGTTCTGAA